TAGACTGTTGACACTTAATTAAAAGATATAGTAAGAGGTGTACTACAGATTTAGCTCTGACCATATTAATCGTGTAGTACCCTTTCAATATATTTTTTAAAATAGCCACAACTTCTTACATTTTCTATCGCAAGTGATTCTCATGCCAAGAATATGCTTTGCTGGCCTTAAATATTTCATTACAAAATATTTGCTCAACTTTTTCTTCAAGCTATCAATTTTGGAAGAACTAGAACCCATAATGAGCATGTCATCAACATATAGTAATATGATGATAAAATCACTATCAGAAAATCTTAACATAAAAACATAATAATCAGAAGTACTCTTCTTATAGCCTTATTGAATCATAACTAACTCAAACTTCTTATACCATTTCCTAGGTGCTTGTTTCAATCCATATAAATTCTTTCTCAATTTGTAAACATAATTTTCTTTGCCTTTTATCACAAAACCTTCAGGTTATTTCATGTAATTTTTCTCCTCTAAGTCACCATGAAGGAAGACTATTTTAACATCCATTTGCTCAACCTCTAAATCAAGACTAGCAATTAACTCCAAAATAACACGAATTGATGACATCTTGATCATTGGTGAGAAAATCTCCTCAAAATCAACTCATTTTTTCTGACCGAAGCCCTTGACAACTAATCTGGCTTTGTATCATAGAGATTTAGAATTCTCTTCTTGCTTCACTTTATAGACCTACCTATTTTTCACAAAATTTCTATCTTTAAGAAGCTTTACCAATTCAAATGTGTGATTATCAGCTAAAGATTACATTCTATATTTCATAGCTGCAATCCATTCTACTTTTTGCTCAATCTTAATTATCTCTTCATAACATTCAAGTTATTCTTCATCTATCAATAGTATGTACTCATTAGGTGAATACTTAGTAAAATGCATTCGATCACTAGTAGACCTCCAAAGTGAAACTTCAAGTTTCTCAACATGTGCCTCTTGTTGAACATCAACTACTTTATATTCAGGAGCACCAATCTCATCTATGTTATGATTGTTATTTTATACATCATGATTTTGAACCTCAACTACATCAAGCATATGAGTTATAGGAGATGGGTTTAAGTCAATCAAACTATCAATTTGAGATATAAATTTTTCCACCGTGTCAATATCTTCAATAGTTTGATCTTCTACAAAGATTATATCACGACTTTTGATAACTTTCTTTTGAAGTGGGTCGTAGCATCTGTAACCAAACTCATCTTACCTATAGCCAATGAAGATACATTGCTTAGTCTTGGCATCTAACTTGAACATCTCATCTTTAGGAACATACACAAAATATTTGCAACCAAACACTCATAGGTGTTCGTAGGAAACATCTCTACCATACCAGAACTTATTAGGAACATCATTTCCCAATGCAACAGTGGGAGTTAGATTGATCACATGTGCGACAATATACAAAACTTCACCCCAAAAAGAGTTAGATAATCTAGCCTCTGAAAACACGCATCTGACTTTCTCCATCAATGTTCTGTTCATCTTTTCTGCCAAACCATTCAACTGAAGAGTTTTAAGAGGTGTCTGCTGACGTCTGATATCCTATTCTCTGCAATATGTATCAATTGGCCCACAATACTCACCACCATTATCAGTGTAAATACATTTCAACTTCTTTCTAATTTCTCTCTCAGTAGAAGCTTGAAATTCTTTAAATGCGTCAAGCGCCTAATCTTTTGACTTTAAGGTATGAACCCAAAGTCCCCTTGAATGATCATCAATAAAGGTCACAAAGTACACCACCAAATAACTTATCATTTAAAGGACCACAAACATCTTAAAGCACCAGCTCAAGCAAATCATCTTTACTGGACGAGGAATGATGTTTAAAAGAAACCCTCTTTTATTTCTTAGCCAAGCAATGAGTACATTTGTCTAACCTTGCACCTTTTGATCGTGAAAGTAAATTCTTTTTACCTAGACAATCAAATCCTTTCTCACTAATATGACTCAGTCTCTTGTGTCATAATTTTGAGGAACTATCACATTCAATTACATTAACAAGATCTGTAAAGATTGAAGCTTACAACCAATATAAGCTCGAAGCCTTTTTTCCTCTACCCACAACTAAGGAACCTTTGCTAAATTTACATTGTCCATCATCAAAGTGCTGTAATAGCCATCATCATCAAGCTTACTAGTGGAGATTAAATGCAACCTAATGTCTAGAGTATGTCTAAATTTTTGGGCTATAAGTTTGTTCTATTTTGGGTCTCTAAACAAATAGTTCCAATGCCTATAATCTTTGACACTCCATCACTACCCATCTTCAAAACTCCAAAATCACCCGGAGTATAAGATGTGAAGAATTTTTTCCTTGATATAACATGAAAGCATGCACAACTATCAAGAACCTAAACAGTATCATTATAGGCTACATTACTCATATTCTTTTGATAAACTATAGCCAAATCATCATCTAAAGTAGTAATGGTAACACAATCAATATTGTTGTCATTTTTCTTCTTTTCTTGTTTCCCTTTGTCTGATTTGTTCTCTTTTTTCCACTTATAACAATATTTCTTAATATGTCATGTTTTACTACAATTATAACATTCACAGTTCTTGTACCTTAATTTTGATTTACTTATGCTCTTGCCTTTATTCTGATCTTAACCGTTATTTTTACTTCTCTCACTATTTTTAGTAACCAAGATTTTTAACTATGAACTAGATGTCCCCTGAGTTCTTTTTCTCATCTCTTCATTCAGAATGTCAGTCCTTGCATACTGCATGGTTACAACACCATTAGGAGCAGAATTAGTCGAAGAAACACGAAAGTTTTCCCATGAGTCAGGAAGTCTAGTTATCAACCAAAGTCCAATAACATCTTCATCAAATTTAACACCCACATCAGACAGTTTATCAAAGATACCTTGAAATTCATTCACATGATCAAGTATAGAACTACATTCTCTATATTGTAAGCATATAATTTGTTTAAGCAAGAATAACTTATTGTTTCCAGTCTTTGAAGCATATAAGGTTTCAAACTTTTCCCACAAAATTTTGGCATTTGTTTCATTAGCAATATGATTCAACACATTATCTTCTACCCATTATCGAATAAAACCACATACTTGTAAGTTTTTAAATTTTCAATCTTCATCGAATTAAGACTCAGATTTTTTAGAAACAAACACAAGTAAATGCAATATTTTCACAATAAGAAGATCCTTCATTTTTCCTTTCCACTTTTAATAATTTATGTTATCCAAATAAACTATTTTACTCACATTCACCTCTATCATTCAAACAAACTAAAGAAAATCCACAATCAACCAATGAATTAGTGAACCTGACTCTAATACTCCTTGTAGGAAGCACTTGAATGAATCAACGAGGAGTGAAAACTAAGTAAAAATTCAGCCAAAATAAATATGATAAAATCTGCCCCAAGATGCTCAAAAATAATCACACAAAGACTCCAAAATTTTTTAATGTGGAAAACTCCTTCAATGTGAATGATAAAAACTATAGGATCTCTCCTGGTCCAAGTAAAAAGAGCTCCACTATAAAAATTATTGTTTACAGCAACAATAAGCAACCATTATAATCCTCAAATAAATACTCAATAACAAATTAACCAAACAACAAGAGATAGACAAGAAAATAGAAAAATATCACCAAAGTAGCTATTGTTCCTACGAAACGGATGCGTTCTGATTGTTCAAATATGATCTTCACCGTTCAAATTAAAGAACAATTTATCCCGAACATATTCACCAAATTTCAGCCTCATCAGACTATAAATGGTCATCCGATTGTTGGAGAAAGTCAAACTAGTTGATGTAGGAAAAAAAACGTGAATAGTAATTTCAAACTGAAAGTACTGAAAATTCAACTGTCTAAAATCGATCTCCCACCACTTATAATGAAGAACAAATAATCTTCTAAATACTCACCAAATTTCAGCTTGATCCGAAAAAAAAAATCACTGTCTGATCATGGAAAGAAGCAAAATATGTCGGATGTAATTTTTCCAGCAAAAAATTTCTTTTTTTTTTTGTTCTTTACCTTTTGGTGGCTAAAAACTTGTTTTTATACTATTTTTTAGGATTAAAATAATATGTAAAAAAAAACTCTAATAACCCTAGTAGGCCAAAAAATAAGTGGACTCAAAAATGATTTAGGTTTTTTCACATAAGAGGAAACCTAAAACCCAACAATTAGAATCTAAGAGCAGTTGAACGGAAGTCTTTATTCCTAAAATATCTTGCTTGTAAAACTTGATATAATAGAGAACAAGGGTTTGACACTAACTTCTGTACTTGTTTAGTCAACAAAATCATATTGAAGCATTCAAAATCTCTGAAACTAAGTTCGCCATTTCTTTTACTAGAGCATAATTTTGACCATCTTCACTACTGTTCCACCAAAATCTAGCAATCAGATTTTCAAACTGTGTACAAATCACTTTGGGGACTAGTAACATATGGAGAGAGATCTACTTTTGCCACTGCCTTAACCAAGGTTTTATTATTCTTGTTTATGTTATTAGAGTTTATGAAGTTGACATCTTTTAATTTTTTAGAGCGCTATAGAGGTATATGTTCTTATTCACTTATCATTAATAATACTACAAATTTATAAATGGGAGTTCTTATGATAATTAACTCCTTCCTCTGTCAATTTGGAGGCTTACTTCTCATCTAAATAAATTGTCATTAAATCGCTTCTCTCAATGGACTTTGACAACGATCAAGTGTAATGATAATAAGCACATTAATTTCATTGCACTCAATAATAAAGCTGAGTAAGGTTGTTTCATATGTGGGTTGCCAGGGATACACCTACACTTCATCTTACACTTGGATAGAAAGAGGCATACAATTAATCGTATATACTAAAAAACCATACATAGCCAAGAAAAAAAAAAAATGATTACAAAAATTATTCTAATCATTATTAGACCGTTCATAATTAATTAGATATTATCATACACGAGGTATATGTTAGTAATAAATTTAAATTATACTATATATAATAGAAACAAATAAAAATATTAAACAAATAAGAAATTATTAGTAAAAATCTACTTACATGTCTCACTGCCATAATACCATTAACCAACTATATATATGATTATTTAGCCCTACTAAATAGTCATTTCTTCAATCGGATAAGTTTAAAAACTTCAGAAGTTTTTACTCCAATCCATGGAGAAAAGAACTATCTATTGATGGGAGCTTGAGTCCACATTTTACAAATAATTAATGTTTGATTTTGATTTCGGAAACTGTTATATATGTACATGTTCTTCACTTTCCAAAAACAATCCGGGGAAGATAACAGTAGGACTTAAATGTAGAGAAACGAAAAGCATCTGATACTGGGTGTAAATTGTATTGTATGCCTATGTATACATTACACACACACACACACACATATATATATATATATATATATATGTTCGAATTTCTGTTCAAAGCCTGTTATTCCATTCTCTTCAACTGCCACCGTCCCTTTGTGTGGTAGGGCTAGGATTCTAATTCCGTCATCACAGTTGCAGAACTTTTTCTCTGTGTCTATATATATACGACCATGTAGATGAAGAAGATGAGCACATATATATTAGCACTTATATTTATCAGTTTCTTTAATTTGATGGCGTCATTGAAGGCTGAGAAACCTGTAGGGTCTCAACTGTTTGGGCATTCCAAGAAGGAAGCTTCTGATGGCGCCTCCAAATCTTCTACTTCCAAGCAGCCTACAAGAAAGGCTGCACCAAAGCCGCAGGAACCCAAGAAGAAGGTATACCCGTACACGCGTGTGTGTCTATATATATATATATATATATATATATAATATTCAATTAATTAACAAATATAAATTTTTTGATTAAAAAAAATATTCACAAAAGTTAATTATGTTTTCATTTGATGTATTTCTACAGGGGAAAGGTGCAGGGAAAGCAGCATCAAAGAAGTGATCAAAATTAATATTAATTGCACGTTGGGTTTTTCCTTTTACTTTTATATATATATATATATATATATATTATACACATGTTATCTTGTGTTTTTCTTGTCTACCAGTGTAATCATGTGGGAACTCGGTGTCCTCTGATCAAATAAAAAAAATTTCATTTTATCATTTTCTTTGCAAATAACTAAATTAACCTACATAAGCCAGAACATATATTATACTTCTACAAATGTTATTAAAATTATATGCTGAAAATCTGTCATATAATTGTTGGGAATATAGAATATGGTCAGAAAGATTTAATGTTTTTCCTATCAGTTTGAATTTTAGATGATCCAACTTATGATTTCTCAATAATAAGCTAAAGAATTATGATGTAATTGACATTAATTAGCTAAGGCATTATACTAGTGAAATGGCTATTGGCAGTTGAAATTGACATAATTGACACGCATGCGCGTGCGCGCACACACATGCACACGATCTTCAGCAAGAAAAATATGAATGAAGGGGCAACGGGTGATGAAAAGAACAGCAATACGAAAACAAGTATTTACAAGTAGATTGCAATATGCATTGAAATGAAATGATAAGTATGCTTGCATGATGCCAACAAAGGCAACTGAATGAAAGGTTAAATGGCTAGAAAGGGCTGACGATGCTCGCCAGCTTCAACATGAATTCAGGAACAAGGCGCCTTCTTGGGGGAGCGACTGCATCTTTGTGACGAGCTGCTGGATCATCAGCATGAATTTTCGCAATTAAATCTGCAAACATTTTGTCTTTTCCCCCTCTCATTGGATCCTGATAAGCACAAACAAGGGTTTACCTTCTGCTTTCTACTTATTAAAATAAAGTAATGATCACAAAAGCATCAGGAAAAATCCAAGTTTTAATGATTCATCTAGTATTTGCACATAGAATGGAAAGAGAAGCAAAGAAGAAGACGAAAAATCATTGTTGTTAGTTTAGTGTTTAGTGATCAGGCCACAGAAGAAAATGATTCCTTCCAAAGATGGAAATATTCGTCTATAAAGAGTGTCAGTTAATAAAAACAAGGAACATTCTTGTTGAGAAGATAAATGACTGAAAAACAAACGTGCAGTTTGATGAATCCACACATCTAATATTGGCATGCCAAACCAGAAAAGACTTGTCTCTTACCTGAAGAAACAAATCCGTGTGAGTCTTTCCTTCGTACAAATATAATTCTGTTTTCACACCAACCCTTTCAAGAGCATCAGCAAAATATTTACTGCAGAAAAAGCATAATCAAATTTATGAACCAGCAATAAATAATAATCATTATTTATTTACAACATTTTTCACTGAAGACACAACACTAGTGGGCTAGGATTGATAAGGGTCTCACCTAGCCGAGCCATGTTAATATGTTATGTTCAGCCTGGCTAGTCAAGACTTGAGTTTGGGTTTTGAACTTCGAATTTTGGTTTTTTACAACTGTCATCAGCCAAATAATTCTGGGATACAACTCAGACTCTATAATTAAAATCTAGCACAGAAAATTTACTTATACAATCCCAGGCCATTTATTACCTGTTCTTTTTTACCTCTTTATTTCACATTTTATGTACCTTTGAGGCTTGATAAGAAATGTTCTTAGTGACCAGATATAAATATTGAAAGGGTTGTCTTATTCATCACATGAACATGCTATTTATAATGTTACAAGATATGGTCCTAATTGAACTAACGTTAGGTTCTAAAATCCTAATGATACAAAAACAATGCTATGTTAGAGATATACACAAATTACAATACAATTTAAATATAAGACATTTATCCCCTAATCTTTTTACATGGTTTTCCAAGGCCCTGACAAGCCTGAATAATGGACATCTACTATTCTATATATACTTAAGAAGATAAAAACATTCAGAGAGACTTTCTAGATGCATCTAAGATAACTATATATAATAACAAAATATAGCCAGGGCAGTTCTTGTTTTAACCAAATCCCCACAATAATTTAATTTAGTAAGTTAAAACAAACCATAACATTTATTTGTACACTGAAAAAGTAGGATGCTACTGTAGCTCAATGAAACATAACACCCGCTAGGTTTTACAAGTTGATGACAAGAAATAACTGAGACTTTTAGGAAAAGATTTAAACCTGTCATCTGATGGAATGGAATAATCTCCAGTACCATGAAAAAGAATAATAGGAGGAAGGAGAGCAACAGCAGGTCTAACATTTGGGTCTTGTACCATTACTGCAGGAGAAAAACGTCTCAAAGATTCTTCCCCGTTCATTATGCTGTGTGAAAATCAAAATTATCCATTTGTTACCATCATAGATGGCATTAGTTTCAGAAATTTAATTTGGAAAATAAGTCAACAGGGAAACAAATTATTTACCTTAGAAAGATCGAACGGTATAAGCCTCGACTATTGAAATAATCTACAAGATTAAGGAGATTGTACCTGTTTGCCAGGACAGAAGCAGCAGTGAAAAATAATCTATTAATAGGTATCCAATTTTATGGGGAAAAAGATTTGCTCCCATCATGTTGTAGGTAGCCATGCTCATCTAGTGAAAATTTCAACATTTAATGATGGAAGAAGATATACTCACCCACCAGACAAGCCAAAGTAAGCCTTTATTTGGGAGACACTCCAGGAAACATTCTCTCCCTCACCACATTCTTTGATTGCCTGCTCCAGGAGAGTACAGGCTCCAATATGAGCACCAGCTGACTGTCCCATCAGATAAATTCTATACAAGTAATGAATCATGCATCAACATAATAATCTGTGAAATAAATTTTTAGACAGAAGATTTAAGTGGAGAAAGCAACTTAGTACCACCTGTTAGGATCACCTCCATATTGAGTAATATTATTGCATACAAATGAGATGCCTTGAGAAGCATCCTGAATCATGTCACTCATAGTTCCCTGAGGAAAATTTCTGCAATAAATTTCAATCGCAGAAAGATGCTATTTGTTAAGGATTGGAAACATTAAAAACATGAAAAAAATACTCAAGTAAATGCTGTAACAGTCCTATGTCTGGAATCAGATCAAGAGTTACGGCCTATGTAAGGTGTACTCAAGAGAACCTCGGATCTTAGAGTAAAACTCCAAACTTTTTAGGTTAGATAGACAATACTTTTATTGACCATAATAAGCATATTTAGAAGGAAGCTAATGAATTAGATTCCTATTGGATAACTAGAATTCTTAGACCTTATTTTATTAAACATCCTAAATCAACAATTATTAAAATTCTTACTAAATATGATTCTTAAAGTAACTATTCTTAATCCTAGACCTGCTGGAATCCTCCTTCTCTTAGATGCCACTTCTTCCTTTCCCGTGGGTTCTGCATGAATAAATTATCCCTGTGAACCTCCTTAACTTGTCAGTGGCAGTCCGTGACATTTCTCCCCTTCCCAACATGGTGCTTGTCATTAAGTGTCAACTGTAGATGCAGTTGCAGTATGTCCTCTTTCTCCCATGAAGCATCTGTCCAAGGGAGACTCTCTTAGGGAATCAGTAACTTACGTTGTCCTGCAACTATCTATTGCTCCAATATAGCCATCAATATGGGCTGCATTTCCTGATGCGGTGTCAAGAGCAAGAATGGCTGAACTGGCTCATTCCCAAAAGATATTTTTAAGTAGGATGCACAAGACACCAAGTGGATGCATGCTCCTTCCCGTAGAGCTAATTGATAGTTCAAAATTCTAATCTGTTCCATGATCCCAAAAGGGCCATAGAAAACTTGACAGCAGCTTAATTTATATTTCATACACACCCACCAATTTTCAACTAGCAGGCATGTTAACTAAAAGTGTAAGTAATCTAACATTTCAAACTCATATTAAGAAATTAGGAATTGACAACGTTTATTCCCCAACTTAAGGGAGGGTATTAAAGGAAAAATAAATTAGGATGTTGAAGTGAAAGTAAATAAGGTTAAAGGGTGTAATTGTTAAAGAGGAAGCAAATTTGATTAAAGTATATAAAGGTAGATCACACTATGTATAATTAATTATAATTAATTGTTTATTTCTTTTTTCCATCTTGAAAAATCCTATATATATATAGGGTTGTAATATTCTATATAATTCACATCAAACGATTCTTAACATAGAATGATATGTTTATTATTAAAGGAAAGAATCCTATAGATATACAACTCTTAATATAGAAATGGAAACCCTTCAAATTAATTACATATGAGTATTTATCGTATATCCTTACATATTAAATTACATATGCATACACTTTTCAACAACTATAATTCAAGTATTGAAATACTGATTTGATTATTGAGATCTAATATCTCCAATTTTGGTACCTGATAATTTTTTTTTTTAAGTTTTTCTTCAAACCCTCCTTATCCTGCATCAGTAGCATATAAACTGGAGTTACCTCTGACAACTAAGATTCATCCAGTTTTTCATGTCTCCTGCTTGAAGCCCTATTGGGGATATCAAGCTGTAGAATTATGTTTTCCCCATACTCATGCAGGGGAAATCATGCTACACCTCAAGCAGTCCTCAGCCAGCATACCAAACAAGGAAAGAAGTAGCTGCTGATTCATTTGGAAAGGATGTCACCAGCTGATGCCTCCTGGGAAGACGACGATAAATGAGCCACTGCTAATGGTGCTCACAGACAAGCACCTTGCCGGGGTGAAGAGTGCTGTTACACGCACAAAAACTAATCCTAACTGGTTTATTGGTCAGGTGTACCAGCAATAGACACAGAGGAAATCCAAACTAGAGGAGAAGTAACAAGTATTAGGAGCTCTGCCACCTTTTGTTAGGACTTTTCAGCTGTTCTGATTAGGGCTCTAAGTTGTCAAATGTGCTGAAGGAATTCATGAAAGGATCTTCCTTCGCATAGCATTTGATTCTACATTTAAACTCTACAATTAGGAATTGATTAAATTACTTAATTGTTCCCGAGACTGTAGAAGCACTGCTCCAATAAACTCCTTTATTATCAATAAAAAGAAAAAGCATGTGATAATTATCCTCTTAAGAATAGAGAATTCTTTAAGAGACCTTTGGTTCTCTCAAACAAAACAAACCATAAGTCGTCAAGGCTGCAAATCTGACAAGCAGGCTTCACACTTGCCAGAAGATTTCTCCCTCAACAAACCTATGACTGGATCACAAGTCAAGGGACCTAATACAGCCATAGAAAAAAAACATAAATCCAAGCATGGAGAAGATTAAGGAAATAACACTGATATTATACACAGGAAATAAATACAAATATGGTCAAGAAAAAAAAGAGCATATTTTCTTAATGGTATTAATAGCTGACATAAACATCGTACCAAACTACAAAAGGTTTAGCAAATGGACACACAATGAAATGGTGATTGCAACCACAGGGAAGCAACTATGGTTGCTGTCATTCCATAAAATGTCATTCACCTTTTCTTCTCTTTTTTTTCCACGATGATATTTAATGTTCTTAGTCACATGTTGACATGGGGTTCTAAGAGGAACCTAGTTAAAGCCTTTATGTGGGAGAGGAAGGATTGATGTCTCCTGTCTTCAGTTTACAGATCAAAAGATTCTCTTCCTTTCGCATAATGATGGGGCGTAGGTTAATAAAGTGCTCATGAGTGCAAGTGTTTGAGTGTATCTATGGTTTATGTAAACGAATCTTAATAAGATTGGTCATGAGGGGATTGATATAGAGGGCCAAGTCATCAAAATGCTTGCTAAGTCATCAGTTGTGGTATGTTGTCTTGACCAATCAGGTATTTATGTGTTGAACAGTAAATAGTTTGCTTCTGTTATCTTCTGTACATAGGCAGCACCAGGGCCCCCCTTAGTGCCTTATTTGTAATACACTTCTTCTATTAAAAAGGTTGGTCGATGCAGGTACGGGACCAGTAATTCTACCAATAAGAAGTGATTCAATTATCTAAGACACCCAAGGAAATAAAAAATCTTGCAGAACGGACTCCAAGTAGCCAATGTAGACATGATTAAAGAAAAAAATACCTGGACTAGCATATGGATGTAATTAACATCTATAACATATACAACAGCATGCTATTCGCTGAAAAAGGGTAATTAACCTGTAATCTATGCATGCTACTATAACATCTCTTTCTGATAATTGTTGTCCCAAAAGGCAACCCCATGCTTTGTACCTGCATCAGCATAAGGAACTCCAGAAACATGTCAAGGTTAGATTAGGCCACAGGTATGATGTAAATGCCCAAAGAAACAGCAAAAAGGAACTCCAGTTCCCATGTACAGAAACATACAAATATTCAGTGCCTTAACAGAATCTAAGTAGACTCCCAAACTAATTTGCTGAACATGTTTAACGAAAACCAGTTATGGTATAGTAACTTCTACTTCTACCAGTCTTTTAGTTCCTTATTTTGTTCTTTTGCTTGGATCATTACCTCCATTTAAGTTAAATTGTTCTATTGTTCTTATTTAACTAAAGGACCCATCTGTCTCTTATATATACAAGGCTAAACCCAATATATGATGTGCACCATTATCTTTTATTCTGACATTTTCCCCCTTCTACAGCTTCATTCCCTTAGAATTCCTATGACACACTACAAAAATGCAGAAAATAACTCACCCAATAATCCATGCTCCACCAGTGACAAATGCTACTACCGGTTTCGGCCCATCTTTGTTTTTAGGTAGATATAGATCAAGCCTGCAAACAAATTTTATATGTTCAAGTTAAAAATCCATGAAATTACAAATCATGTGAATTCATTGCACTTAAATGGCAAAGGACTAAATCAAGATTATAAATTTTACCTATTTCTAGGTTTATCACCATAAACTATACTTCTATGAATCTGCCTGGAGAAGAAATAGTAATATCCCACTGCAAAAGACTAACAGATTAGTTATGCTTGGCCTATCTATTACATTTAACTACTCTAATTTCAGTGAGAATACAAGTTGCATTATAAACTTAAATAATGCAAATAAAAAGCTACAAATAACGTTCAGGAAATTATGGAGTAAATCAGACAAATACCTTGAATAAAGCCTGGCATAAGAAGAAATGAGTAGCAACCAAGTGCAAGAAACCTTAACATCCATTTGTAGCCTACCCTGAACAAAAATGAAGATCAAGAAGCATCCTACATTTGGAAAAGGTTTACTGAAGCAACAAATGCTACGATACTTCAACTTGAAATAACATCTCAGAAGTCCATCAAAAAAACAAAGACAAAAACAAAATTGAAACAACCAGAATGGCTTTACACACTTCAAAGTATTTTCTTTCAATGAATGTAGAGGCTCAAGGTGTGGACTTGATACTGGAGTTAGAAGGACCACAAAGTAGATTATATCTATTTGAACTTTTTCAGATGCGTTGTCCTTTTCTTTTCCATGAGTTGTCTCGTCATTCAGCTTCACTCACATTGAAATCTTGTGAAATTGTCTTGCAATCAACATGTTAGGCTATCTTAAGCATCTGGGAAAAAAATACCTACTAGATTAAATTAAACAAAACTGTCTTAACTATTTGAATGTTTGTGTCGTCTCATTCTAGTCTTGCAAAAAGAAGGTTTTACTAAGTTTCCCACTGGGATAATTTGAGTAAATATTTGAAGGTTAAGATAACAATTTTCTCAGTGTTGATATTTGGATTTCATATTTAAAAGAATCCACCCCTAATCCCTTTTTCTATTGGCAAAGATATGACTCTGTCCTCCAATATTACTTGCATTCCCAGACCCACCAGGGGATGAATTTGGATCTTTTGGAATGACCAACACAAAGTAGGAAGGATTATGAAGCACAAGTCAACCATTTAAATCAAAGCACGGTATCACTGGAAAATTGCCTAATAACTGGATACCATCACGAACACTAGGAACTAAATTAGGAGCTAGAACATACTTCTTTGCAATATTGACATTAGTATCCTCACCTTGAACAAGAAACTTCAGCAAATACGAACTAAGTTTTATTGGCTTAATTTGAGAGATCATAAAATACAATATCTATGCATGCTGTACTGACATATTCATCTTTTCGAGAGACCTCAATGCTTCCATTATTATCGGACTAAAAGAACTTTTTCGTTGGCCTCATTGCTTGGCTTCAATGTATGTATTCTGATGATTTTGAATTCCAGGTTCCAAGAAAAACAAAATTACAATCAATCCATTTATCACAATATCATAATGGTAGAATTCACATTAATAGCTGGACCAATCTCTCTCCTATTTAACTTTCAAATAGATTAACCAGACAAAGTTTAGAATCCAATGCCAAGATTTAAAGCTTAAGTTATATTCACAATCAGCACAAGGAAGCAAACACCTTGAAACCGATCACCCATCCACCAACCACACATAAACTTTATTATAGCCGATTACTCCACTAAACACCAACTTAGTAAATAGAAACCCCAAAAACTAACACGGGTAACCAGAAAAAATCTCCGATAAAGCTAACCAATGTTTTATTTAGCAGCAGCTTCTTTGCCCCCATGAACCAACTCTACGCAGGCGCAAACAAAAACAAAGCAACTCTTATAAACAAAAGTTCAAGAGCAAAACGAAAAAATATTGTACCCAAGATATGTCAAAAGCTTCAAGCTCAACCGAGTCACCAAAAAAGTCTCTGCAGCAGCATGCCCCACATCCTCGCTAAAAGACTGCTGGGGGCTGTCTCCACTGGAAAGGGAAGAAAGTGAGTTTTCGCTGCCGATCCGTCGCCGTCTCTGCTGATAGTTTTTGGCAGAATCATCGGTGGTTGTGGTAGCTATGGTACCATTATAGCTTGCAGCTCTAGAAACAAGAGGCTCCATAGACATGGCTTTCTCATCTTCAAATTGAGAAGAAATGAAGATATTGGTTGATGGATCATCCTCAATTTGACTTTTTACCAACAATGCTCTTTCCGGTGAGGATTTTGAAGAGCGACTCGAGATCGGAAGTAATGGCGACGGCATTTTTCTTTACTTCCGACCCAAGAATGAAGCAAACCCAAATGTTTTCAGGGTTGCATACGTTGTGCTATGGTGTCCGTTAAGCTTTTTATATTTGATAGAAGACCCTTGAGCATCAAAAACAGATGGTATAATTTCTTCCGTTCAGGAAACAAGTAAAAGTTTTGTGGTAGAGACGACAGAGGATCTAGAGGGCAGAGCAGGTAGTTTACGGGAGAAGAAGGAGCCGATTGGGATTTGCCATCTGGGTGTTGTTCAATGTGGGGGTGAGACTTATGGAATTGGTCGCTTCATTTGTTCGCTTCCATTTGCCCCGTTGGATTTGCGTCCCAACTTGTCTCTGTCCTTGGATTGTTCTCATAGGAATTGGCTGTCTTCCCTGTTGTCAACTATTGCAGTACAAGTTCATTAACAACCTTTTTGAAAAAAATACAGAAATGGTGTAACTAAATACTGAATTGCTATAGTATTATTTTTTCTCTCACAAGTCATTTTTATATAATTATATTTTATTTACTAATAATTTTGGATTACGTAAAAATAAAAATTTTAAAATTTAAACTGTAATGTTGGATTCATTTAATTTTGCACAAGGAAAAGTAAAAATTAATATATATATTTTTTGTAAATATATGCATATATAATTTTTTATATATAATAAATTAATAATAATATAGTGGAATGGACGGTGCTGGCGGCCCAGCCCAGACACTGCCCTGCCCCTTTTAGTTAATTAGTTATATATATTATATTATTATATATTAATGTATAAAAAATAATATATTATGTTAAAAATATAATTTAATATTTGGTGGGTTTCTGTTTTGTATTTTGAAGAATCGAAACTATTTGGTTTTTAACTGATTTAATTGGTCTAACTATTTTTTATTTTTTTATTTTTTTATTCAGTTTAATCAGCTTTAATATGGTTTTACTCTTCTCTAATTATGATTACTACAACTAAAATTACTTAACTATTATGTAATAATTATTTTATCTAAAAATATATGACTCTTATATTAATGTGCTACATCAACACTAATAAGACAATGTTAGGGTTTACATTTCTTACACAATAAATTAAATTGTCAAATAGGGTTACGGGAATGTCCATTCTACGTAATTCATAAAAAACAAATGGTAATTAAAGAAAACGAATAAATAAGTATTCTAAGATAACATTTACTAACATTTAAAGGGAGTTCAGGAGGTGGAGTACACAACCCTCTTTCTGATCAGGATCTAGATTTTGATCTTCTTTATCAGAAATGATTAATAAAATAGTGAGTTATATTAGTAAGTAAAAATATCACAGTAATCACTGATACGAAAAACTGAAAGTTAGTAAAACTCAGAAAATAACTAATGGAGTTCTTGCTTTAAATAAATACATTTAACTTAAAAAAATTTTATTTGATACTTACTGTTACGATTTTTTTCAAAATCAACCTATAAAAATAATTAATGACATTTCAATTTCATGCATAGGATCAGCAATCCTTCCTTTTTAACCTACTTACTAGGATTTCTGAGGGTCCATAGGAATATCTCTCTACTCGTGGACCTAGTATCAATATTGATAATTAACTTGACCGTCCTCATACCCCATCCAGTAATGGGCCCCAAAAACACCATCGTCTTGATACCTCATCCGGTATGAGAGTGAACTATATCTCTCAAAACTCTTCCAGTATAGGATTTCTCAGCCCCGTCCAACTGAGATAATGTCCACAGTAGCATTCCCTATGTCCCAAGTCCATCCACCATTTCTTAGGATTCCCAGTAAGCTTTTATTTATTTAAACTCTTATCATCCAAGCAACCACTAAAGCAAACCAACATCTCATTTCATATTCACATATTAATTCAAATGGTACGTAAACAAATGATATAGTTTAGCATAACCAAATAACCACTCAGAATACCAGATAAACATTACAGAAAGAACTAAATAACCAAATAACTAAGAATACCATAAAAACTATCAATTCAATTATGCACATTATAATAGTAAGCAAATATATGCAGTACAGGAAAATAAATAGGGAATCAAGACAAATGTGAACTGTAATAATCCGAAAACTCCAAATGTAATAAATTATTAATTGAGTACGAAAGCGAAATAAATAGTTAATGTTTACATTTCTTACATAATAATTCAGATTACCCAATAGAGCTACGGAAATGACCACGTTAAAAGAAATAATGAAAAATCAAAGAAATAATAAAAAATAAACAACTGGGCATCCTACTCACAACTCTTTTGTGGATCAGGCTCTAGATCTTAGTTTTTTTGATCTGAAATGGTTAATGAAAGAGTAAACTACACTAGCCCAATAAGAATATCACGCTACTCACCGACACAGAAATGAATGTTGGTAAAAATCATAAAAACAACTAATAGAACTCTTAATTTCAGTAAATTCGTTTATCATAAATAAAATCATTTACCGCATACTTATCGTAACGAGATTGTCAAAAACAACCTATAGAGTTAATAATATAACACATACCATAATTTCATATACGATCAGTCGGAATAACAACCTTCCTTTTTATCAGCCTACTGGTATCAATGGGGGTCTATAGGGATGTTTCCACTACGTGTGAACTCTTTTTTTATATTTTCAATTAACAGGTCGTCTTTATACCCCTTCTGATATAAGCACCAAAAGATACCATCCCTCAATACTCCGTCTGGTATGAAGGTGAAACGGATCGTTTCTATACCCTGTTCAGTATGAGCGTTAAATTACCAAACTTCGATACCTCGTCCGGTATGAGGCAACGTTCACGGTAGGGTTCCCTACATACCCGGTCCGTCCATCATCTCTCAGGATATCCAATGAGACTGTCATTTGATTTATCCACTTAATCAAATAATTTTTCTTTTACCTTTAATTTTCAGTTTTCCAATTCAATATAATCACACAAAACAAGCAAAATATGCATCAAAAAAATACAATCGCATCATCATACTAATTTCAATGTATTATTATGCACTCGAAAATTGTAAAATCAGGCAATCGGTTAAACATAGTAAACAATAGTAAATAACCGGTTCCGCCTCCATTAGTAACCTGTAATTAACTATGAATGTTTTTTAAGTTTCACAAAATACTATATTATTTAAAATTAAACTTCAATTTCGTAACAATAAATGAGGTAAGATATTTTTACTTAAACTGATGTTTAAAATACCAACTTTTGATTACGGCTATTGGCGGTTTTTAGGTTCCCTAAATTTCTCTTTGGGGATTAAAATGCGCGTCAAGTACTTAAAAATATCTCAAAAATCTAAAATCATTGTTAGGAACCCTTTTTGGCCAATTCCAGAATTTCAGCACAGCAGCTCTGCCGTGCTCCGGCGATGGCACCGCCGCCTACAATGACGGTTTACCTCAGGTCGGCTGTTTTCGACCGGTTTTGTACTAATTCCAACGAGAAAATACGTTAAGGGGCCTCGGTTGGCTAAAAAAATCAAAAAAATCAAAACTTATCGACAGCGGGGTTCTTCGGTGCGGCAGCTCCGCCAGCTCACCTTCGCGGTTGAATGTTTTGCTTCGGTCAACCTGTAGAGAAGGAAATGGTGATTACAATAGTGAAAGAATTACGTAAAACGGTAATCAAGAAGGGCCTCATCGGAGGTAGTTTTTGTATTTTTTTGCGGCGACACCGCCGGGCTTTACCTACAGTTTTTGGCCAATCCATCGGTTCTTTTACTCTGATTTGGCTATGGGGGTGTTTAAAATCGAATTTTGAGCAAAGAAATTTTTTTTCACCTCTTTTGGTTGTCAGAAGTGGCTCTGGCGCGGCGGCAGCGGCGGTCAGCTTACTTCCTAGCGACTGGGTTTTCTTCTCCGGCAGGGGGTCTGGCAGCTAGGGTTAGGATTTGGTGTGAACAGAGTTATTTATGTTCATCCCCTTTTAATCTGGACTGTACATCGTATTTGATCTATACCGTCCAATCGCAATTAAATATAGAGTGAATCTGAACCGTTCATCACGATCTGATCTGTACCATTTGATCACGTTTAAATAGGAAGTAAATCTGGACATTCATCGCGTTTAAATATGACCATCCGATCGCATCTGGGGAGAGAATGGATCCAGATCGTCCATGTACGCGGGAACGAATGTAGACCGTCCAATCGCGGGCACGGGGATCATCAGTGTGGCCTCCCGCGTGGTACTGCGTCAGCATCCCTTGCCACGCGGTGTGCTCTAGTTCATCAGGCTGCTGACTGAGCGTCCTTCGTGGCATAATTTTTTTAAATTATGTTTTGACCCTCAGTTTTTTATCTTTATTTCAGAAATACCCCAAAAATTCAAATTTTCACCTCTTTTTTTAAAAATTATTTTCAATTTCATCCTCTATTTAATTTTCTTCATTTTTACATTAAATAAGAATTAAAAAAATTAAAAAATTATATTTCTTCATTAATTTTAATTATAGTTAAAATTAATTAGGACATTATATGAACTAACTGGTTACAGCTCCACTAGTGACCTGTAATATTTTTAGGATTTTTCTCATTTTTTTTACAAAATACACAATTATTGATTATTAATTCTTAATTTGCTATAACTGAGAATAGGGTGAGAAATCCTTACCGCGGATTGGTGTTTCGAAATGTTGCACTGTCTCCTAACAGGTCCTGACTTTCCTAAATTTTCTTGCAAAAATCCAAAATATTCGTCACGCAACTAAAAATACCTCAAAACTCCCAAATCGGAGTCGAAAACCCTTTTCAGCCAATTTTAAGGTACTGGCACGGAAACAACGCCGGCTCCGTCGCCTGCAGCGGTGGTTTGCCTCAACCTAACCGATTTTGACCAATTTTGGCCAGCTTTACACATATCTCTGTAAAAAAATACGTTATGGGGTATCGGTTGACTAGAAAATCACAAAAAACTGAACATACCAACGGGGGATCTTCTGGTACGGCGGCTTTATTCAATTCTCCTTCGCAGCATTCTCCTTCGCAGCTGAGGTTTCTTCTTCGGCTAACTTGTACGGAAAATGATAGTGAATACAATGATAAAAAATTTTTTGTGAAACGAGAAGTAGGAAGGGGCTCATTGGAGAGGTTTTAAGGTTTCGGTCGCGGCGGCCCCGGTGGGCTTTGCCCTCAATTTCTGGCTCACCCGATGTAACACCCATTAATTTTATCATTTTTATTATTATTATTATTAATTTTTAATTTATTTTATTTAGTAATTATTGAATTTTAATTGATTTTGGAAAAAAGTGGTGAAAATTTAGATTCTGGGGGTATTTTTGAAAAGAAAATCGAAAACTGGAGGTCAAAACGTAATTTAGAAAAGTTGTGTCCCGTCAGCGCCACGTCAGCAGCCACGTCAGTGGCCCAG